CTCAGGGTCCACCTCAGGCTCAGGCTCAGGCTCCCAAAGGTGCCCAGGCCCCTGCAAAGGCTCCATAGTAGAGGCCTCTGTCTGCTGATGTGAGGACAGAAGGACTGGTGTGCCCCTGGGGCGGTTGTCCTCCTGTGGTGTTTGGGCAAATAAACCTGAGGCAGGGTCAAATAAAAAAAATAGGTGTATTGCATCAGATGGAGAGTGCTTTGAAGGTGACTGCAATTTAAACATGAGAGAGTAAATACACATTTTTTTATAGATAAATTCCAGGATTTTTTCTGTGGCCTCTTATATATACTATGTTTTTTCTATACATATATACCTATGATAAGGTTTAATTTATAGATTAGGAAAGTAAGAGATCAACATTAATAACTACTAATAATATAGAATATTCATAACAATATGCTATAATAAAAGTTTTGCGAATGTGGCCTGGGTTTCTCTTTCTCATAACCAAGGTGGCCAGTGGGTGGAGGGTGACGAGTGGGTGGATAGCGTACAGAGTGTGGGTGCGCTGGACAGAGGGATGGTTCCCATCAGGGGCAGGGCTGCACAAAGTTTCATTACACTACCCATAACAGTACGCTGTTCAAAACTTATGCATTGTTGATCTGGAGTTTTCCATTTAATATTTTCTGACTACAACCGTGGAGAGCAAAACCACAGACAAGGGGACTACTATACTGTAAAATCTTCAGAGGCAAGAGGAAGCTACACTGAGCCTCATGGAGGAATTCATGTCAGTTAAGTCATTATATGAAAAATGTAAAATTCCCTTAACTTTGTTGTCTCATAACTTCCTAGTTAACTAGTTGGAATTTCTAAAAGGGTTAAGGAAAGCTTCTTGGAGGATGTTCACGTTTGTAGAATGGTATTGTTGAGACAGGGATCTTGTGGCACCACCGTATCACTGACCCAGGATAAAGATGGAGCCCTGAGAAACCTCACAAACAGTGTTGAAGGAATAGGAGTTTGGGCTCCTTACAAACTTAAAGAGCCTTTTAAAAATGACCCCACCCCATCCCCCTTCTTGCCCTCTTTTCAGAGAGAGAGGGGGGAGTTACAGACATGCAAAGGGGGTTGCTTCTAACATAATCATAGTACTATTATCAAAATCGGGGACTTTGACATGACATAATACTATTATCTAATTAGCAGGCCTTATTCAAATTTTACTGATTATCCCAGCATCCTTTAGAGCAATTTGTTTCTTCTAATCTAGGAGCCAACATATCACATTTCGTTTTTATGTCTCTTTAATCTTAATCTGAAGTCATTTCTCAGCCTTATTTTCTCTTTTATAACATTCTCAATTTTGAAGAAAACAAGTTGTTTATTTTGTAGACTATCCCTGGACTGAGTTTGTCAGCTTCTTCACGATGAGATTCAGGTTACGCATTTCTAGCAAGAAGTCCATGAAAGTGACGTGTCCCCTCAGTGCATTATATCAAGAGCACATGGTCTAAGTCTTTCCCCTTATTCTTCATGTTAACTCAACGCGCTTGAGTAAGGTGATGCTGCCGGGTTTTTTCACTGTAAATTTTCTTTCTGAGTCGGGGCAGCAGCACGTAAGCAAAACAGCATGGCATGTTTAAGGACTAAAGAACAGTTCTCTGTGGGTACGTACAGTGTAACATTTGTGTCAAGAGATGGGGATGGGGAACCCCAGAGGAACCAGATCACAAGTGGTCTTAAGTGTAAAGCTAGGGAGCTCGGACTTAGCTTGAAGACCAGAGCGAGCCAGCAGTGGGTTTTGAGCAGGGTGTCGATGGAGTTAGCTTTGTGTCCTGCTAGTGTCTCTGGTTTCTGGATTCAGTTGGTTGCCCAGGCCTAAGTGAGGAATGGTAGATGCATGTGTTCCCGAGCAGAAAGAGTATTTGTGCTTCTGAGCAGATAGAAGAACCATAACTGGTGCCGCTCTCTTCGGGTTGGACAGTAGGTGCAGCAGACCATTTCTGTGCTCTGGTACCCAAAAGCCCTTTGTTTGCTTGTTTCTTTTTAATCAGTTCACTACCAGAAAGACTGACTCTCAGCCCTGCTGAAACACTTGCTCTTAGCCCGGTGTAGCATTGCAGAAAAGCACAGCTTGAGAATCAGAAGAGCCAGATGGAAACCCCAGCTCTGTCGGCCCTTTCCTGAGTAACCGTGAACAAGTCCCTTGACCTCTCTGAGCTTCATTTTCTTCATCTCTAAGCTGCATAGGATAATATTGATGTACACCTTCCAGGGTTGTTCTGAGGATCAAATGCGATAACCTGTGAGTGCATTATAGGCTTTATAATGCGACCCAACTTTCCGTTTTAGCAGAGGCGCTGTGACCCGTTGTGGTGCTTCCCATACTTCAGGCAGTTTCATGCCGTCCTGACAGATTCTAGCATCTCTGACTAAGCCAGGACTGTTTACTTTTTATTTTTCTTTAAATCAGTTTTTTAGAAAAAGTTTGTCTTCTTTTTTTAAATATTGTTAGTTTATTTTTAGAGAGGGGGAAGGAAAGGAGACAGAAGGAGAGAAACATCGATGTGAAAAAGACACACTGATCAGTTGCCTCTCATACCCCGACTGGGCACCAAACTGGCAGCTTAGGCTTGTGCCCTGGCTGGGAATCGAACCAGCGACCTTTTGAGCCACTCCAGTCAGGACAGAGTTAATTTTCAAAGGGAATTTTTTATCTCTTTGGTGAATGAAAAATCAGTACTTTTTAGTGCATGTTAAGATAAATGTATAATTAAGGGTTTATCTGTGTACCACCTAAAATTATGTCTTTCTGGTGGGATGCACACACTATAGGAAATACTGGTGCTGGCAAGAAGCTGGCCTTAGTCTGGTAGCCTGGGCCCCAACCCTGATCTTGCTGTTTAGTTTCTGTCACCCGAGGCAAAATAGTTCATTCATTTCTCTGGCCTTGGGTTCATCTGTTCAATGGGAGTGATACTGATACTTTCCTAGTGGGTGTATGAATGGGGTTGAGGGACAACATGAGCTTTTAAATACCGGCATAAGAAATTGCCAAGATGTAAATCTTCGAAGCTTATGGCTCCTTAAACAAAGAGGAAAGCATGTCGAGTTCCTTCACCATCTCCAAGATGGTGAGAGGGAGATTTCACGTGAAATATATTCGGTGTTTTATATGCCAGTGATCTTTGTTCTGTACCTGTGAGCTGAAGCAGAGGCATGTGGGGTGTTGGTATTAGAAACAGAAGTGCCTGAAGACTGCCATTGATCCTGGGACAGGAGAGAAAGGAATTAAGGCTTTTCCAGAACTTGAAATTAAGCTGAGAGAGAGCTCCCAGACAATCAGGCATGCTTCTACCCCTGACATAGGCTGTGTATTTTTCTTACTCCAAATTCACAGCAGTCTTGTAAAAAAGACTATGTTGACTTCATTTCACAGATGAAGCTACTAAGACTCTAGCAAAGTTGAGAATGGAACCTTGGTTTAACTTCTGTGTTGGGAGAAAAGGGGCTGGAGAGAGGGAAGGATTAGTTACTGAGTACGTGCGTACTTTATAAGCCAGGCTCTGTGCGTGGAGCTTTAGCTGTATTATTTTATATATAATCCTTACAATAACCCCACAAGACAGGTTGCAATAGCCCCTCTTTATTTTTCAGTAAATTTAATTTATTCTGAAGTTTTATTTATTCAGAGATGTGAAGAAACGTGTCTGTAATTACACAGATGAGGCAGACACAGGATTTAGGCTCAAACTTACCTAATTCAGATATAATCTAAGGATACCACAATCAATGTCTCCTTTAAGGGGAATGAACTTCCTGCCAGCCTTTCAGTTATCACAGGAATCGAGTGTTACACCTGGAGCCCTCACCTTCTCAGGCAGCCAGCGCTGCCCGAGGACTTTCTACGTCTTTGTGGTAGTTTTTTTTCTAGTAGGTATATTATAGCAAAGCTTGCTGTCATGTGATGCCACCCTTCTAACCACCCTCTGCAGTGATCATCATGGATTTTTAAAAAATGCCAGCTTCACTTGCCCTCTTCTGCATTCCATCTTATCCTCAGGTCCCTCTGCTGAAGTCCATAGTTTCAGCCTGATATTCAAGGCTTTCTGTAATCCGGCCCGACCAGCCTCATCTCTTGCTGCTCTGCTCTACACAGGCGCGCGCACACAAACACACACGAGCCAGATTGAGCCACTGGGGAATTCCCAGAAACAGCGCTCCATATTTACTTTCAACTCACAGCTTTTCTGTGCCCTGTTCCCTCGGTCTGGAGAGGCCTTTTTCTGTCTGCATAAATCCTGTTCATCTGTTAAGGTTCAGTTCAGAAGTTGTCTTTCTAGAAAGCTTTGCCAAACACCAGAGCCTTTCTATAATTGCAAATCAAGAGTGTCTTTTCTGTGCCCCATATTAAGGGCTCCGTAAACAGTGAAAGTGATAGTATTAGTAGTTGTAATCCTTAGTGAGGCTGGTACCGTGTAAAGGATGCTTTTTACAGTCAGAGAATGCTGAACAACTTTGTACTTTCGTTGAATCACCTGAGTGGAAAGTCAATGGTAAGGGAACTCCACCGACTGCCCTTGTAAGGAGAAATGAGTGAAGTCAATATTCTAATTTAAAATCAAACAAAAAATGCTGTTCTCTTCATTCTACAAATTAGACTCAAACTTTGACTGGAAATAAAAGATATGTAACAAGGAACATACTCTTTCTATTCCTGTCCTTCAATTACCGGTCTTCAGCTGCATTATCCTGATGGGATATGTTTAACTGTGGGGCTGTTAATGCTGTCTCCTGAGCTGAGCACACTGAATGCACAGTGTGTGTAGTGTGTACCTAGCACCCTGGGGACCTAAAAGTATCTGCTGCCTACGAGGTGGCCTGGAATAATGGAAAGAATATGTGCTTTGAGGCCAAAAAGGCCTACGATTTACTCTCAGCTTCACCTATTACTACCTTGTGCTTTTGGCCAAAGAAATTCTCTTTTGGTGCCTAGCTTCTGTGAGCATGGTTCTGACTCTCTTGCTTACGTTTCCTTCCAGCAATCAGAGAAGACGGCATGCCTGGGGGCCGGAACAAGAGCATTGGGCCAGTCCAGGTGAGTTCTTGGCCTCACTCTGTATGATCCATTCCGGAAGCCTCGGGTTTTAGATGCTCCTGTAGCTGCTCACCTTGATTCTGTCAACTGCTGCTGGGATTGCTGGGTCATGTGGTACTTACAGTTTTAATTTTTTTAATTGTCCATATTTGTTTTTTTATTGTGCAATTACAGTTGCCCCCACTCTCCCCCCATTACTCTCCCCTGCCCTGTCTACCCCCACCTCCCACATTCAGCTCTCTTGCCTGCCCCGCCCCCCGGTGTCACTGTCCATGGGTGCTTTATACACGTTCCCTGGTGACCCTTCCACTTCTTGGCCCAGTTATCCCCCTCTCTCCTCCCCTCTGGTTTCTGTCAGTTTGTTCTTTATTTCCATGTCTCTGGTTATGTTTTGCTTACTTGTTTTGTTGATTAGGTTCCACTTGTAGGTGAGATCATATGGTATTTGTCTTTTGGGGGGAAACGTCCATACTGTTTTTCATAATGGCCATACCATTTTACATTCCCGCCGGCAGTGCTCAAGCGTTCCCGTTGTCCACATCTTCTCCAGCATTTCTTTTCTGGGTTTTTTCTTCTTCTTCTTCCTGATAATGACTATCTTAATAGATGTGGAGTGATATCTCATTGTGACTTTGATTTGCATTTCCGTAATAATTAGTCATGTTGAGCATCTTTTTCTATACCTGTTGGCTGTTTATATGTCTTTGGAGAAATGTCTCTTCAAGTCATTTGGCTTATTTTTTTAACCCTCACCCAAGGATACGTTTATTGATATTAGAGAGAGGGGAAGGGAGAGAGAGAAACACTGATGGTGAGAGAGAGACATCAGTTGGTTGCCTCCCATAGGCGCCCTGACCAGGAATCAAACCGATAACATTTTGGTGTATGGACGATGCTTCAACCAACTGAGTCACCTGGCCAGGGATTGATTGGCCATTTTTTAATCAGGTTATTTGTTTTTTTGTTATTGAGTTGCAGGGATTCTCTGTGTATCTTGGATATTACCCCTTTATCAGATACATGGTTTGCAAATATTTGCTCTCATTCTGTAAGTTGATTGTTCATCTTGTTGACCATGTCCTTTACTTTGTGGAAGTACATTAATTAGATGTAATTCCATTTGTCTGTTTTTGCTCTTTTTGCTTGTGCTTTTGGTGTAATAGTCAAGAAATCATTGCCAAAGCCCATATCAAAGAAGCTTTTCCTTCTTTGTATTTTTTTAGGAGTTTTATATTTTTAGATCTTACATTCTGATACCACTTGTTTAAGAGACTATTCTTTCCCCATCAAAGATCTTGTGACCATATATGCATGAGTTTATTTGGGGGCTCTGTGTTCTATTCCCTTGGTCCATATGTCTGTCTGTATGCCAGTACCATACTGTTTTGATTACTATAGCTTTGCAGTGTAGTTTGAAATGAACTATAAGGCCTCTAGCTATGTTGATTTTTCTCAGGATTGTTCTGGCTGGAGTTCTTTGTGTTTCCATAAAAATTTTAAGATTACCTGGCTGGCATAGCTCAGTGGATTGAGTGCGGGCTGGGAACCAAAGTGTCCCAGGTTCGATTCCCAGCCAGGGTACATTCCTGGGTTGCAGGCCATAACCCCTAGCAACCGCACATTGATGTCTCTCTCTCTCTCTCTCTCTATCTCCCTCCCTTCCCTCTCTAAAAAATAAATAAATAAAATATTTAAAAAAAATTTAAGATTATATTTTCTATTTCTCCAAAAATACTATTGGGATTTGGTAGGGATTTAGCATGCGCATTTTAACAATAGTAAGTCTTCCATGTGACACAGGATATCTTTCTGTTTACTTATGTTTTTAATTTCTTTCAGCAGTGTTTAATTTCTTTTAACAGTGTGCAGGCTTTTAACCTCCTTAATTAAGTTTATTCCTAAGTATTTTATTCTTTTGATACTATTGTAAATGACATTGTTTTCTTAATTTCCTTTTTAAATAATACATTATTAGTGTAAAAATGCAACTAATTTTCATATGTTGATTTTATATCATGCAACTTGCTGAATTCTTTTTTTAGTTCTGACAGTTTTTTGGTGGAATCTTTCGGGTTTTCTACTTACAACATAATGTCATCTGTTAACAGAGATCGTTTTACTTCTTCCTTTCTGATTTAGATGTCTTTTATTTCTTTTTCTTGCCTGGTTGCCCTTCTAGGACTTCCAGTGCTGTGTTGAGTAGAAGTGTTAAGAGTGGGCATCCTTGCCTTGACCCTGATCTTCGAGGAAAAGCTTTCAGTTTTCACCATTGCACATGGTGTTCACTGTGGGCGCGTACCCTGCCTGGCTCCCTGTGCATCTCTTGACTCTGGGCAGAGTTGAGGGAGCTGATGCTCAGAGGAGCCTGTTTCATCAGCCATTGCATTTGACTTACTGACACCACTGGGCATTTAATTTTCCTTTTAGCCCCTTACTGTTTCTAGGGTGTGTTAAAAAGAGAGCTGTGCTTGCCAAGTTCTTAACTGTGTTTAAGCATAATTAAAAATAACAAAGAATACGCCCTGCCTGGTGTGGTTCAGTGGATTGAGCGCTGGCCTGTGAGCCAAAGGGCCGCCGGTTTGATTCCCAGTCAGGGCACATGCATGGGTTGCAGGCCAGGTCCCCAGTAGGGGGCATTCGAGAGGCAGCCACACATTGATGTTTCTCTCCTTCTCTTTCTCCCTCTCTTCTCCTCTTTCTAAAAATAAAATCTTTTTTTAAAAAATAACAAGGGATAGAATTTTCACTTATTGAGCACCTGTTGTATACCCACACTTTATAACTTTATCTTAGATTAACCTCCCAAGTCTGTCTGATTCAAACCTGCATATTTTCTTGCTCCAGCACCCCGTGAGGGAACCCTGGGCTATGAGGGAGGTAGCATTATCTCCATCGTCTCCTGCAGATAAGGAAGCTAAGGCTTAGAGAATTTGAGTGACTTGCCCAGCAGTAAAAGTCCAGCTAGGAAACTGCAGATGAGATTTGAACGCAGCTTCAAGCACTGTCAGCATGGTCCATCACCTACCTGTCCAGTGCATCAGTGATGTCCCAGTGTCCCACGGCACCCACAGGGAGAGACAGGTGCAGTCTGACTGGAGCTCCCAGCTGGAATAAGCAGATGCTACCAGGACTGGCCCTGTTCACCCAGCGCCAGTTACTCCGTGTCCACCAAGCTCTGGTCTGCTCTCACCGCCGTCACTGAGGCCGCTTCCGTCAGGGCCTCAGTGGGTGTCTGGTAGTTTGGTGGCACCGTTTGTCTTCACATGACTTAAGAAGTGCAAACAGTGATTTCAGTGTTCTCGGGGCCCCTAAGAGAACATACCTTTTATTTATTGTCTGTTTGTTTGTTTGTTTGTTTGTTGCTGCTTGTGACTGAAGAAAGAAAGACATCCCCTTTAATTCAGCGTGTGGTCCAATCTGTTTAAGACCAATCACTCAACCTATACACCAGTTAAATGTTTCTTATTTCCCCTCCGATTCCTGTGCGCTGGCTGCCTTTCAGTGTGAAATGCCTCCTATATTTATGACCAGAGCAGCTCAGGGTTTCCTCACAGGCTCCTAGAGCTAAGAATTACGCAGGTTCGAGTTAGACAGACCCAGGATACCATGTCCTCTCATCCTTTTCACAGGAACAGGGGATAACAATGCGTCGGCCTTCCCCTGCAGCACTCGTGCTCGTCCTGCGTGCTGAGCGTAGCCGGCCGGGGTTAGACACATTAGGGAGTGTTCGTTCCCTCCCTCTGTGGTGTAGTAGCTTAAGCACTGGACCGAACATTTGGAGACTTTGGCCTCTTTCTCAAACTCCGGCCCAGACATGGGCATGTAGTATGAGCTTGGGCGAGTCAGTTCATTTATCTCGGCTTTCTTAACTCAGAAAATCCGTGGTCAGTAACAAGTGAGCATTTGTTCATTTATCCAACATGCGTTTATTGAGCACTTTTTAAGAAATCTTCTCATGGCCTTAGGTCTCATAGAGGATATTTTTATGATTCATTACTATAAATGTTATAAAATAACATTAGCAATGAATATTTTTAGCCTTCCATAATTATTGCTATGCATTAGGCTCTTTTCTAAACATGTGTTAATGTAGTAACTAATTTAATCCTCAGCGTCAGTCCTATGAGATAGATACTATTATTCTCTCCACCATACATATGAAGGAATTTAGGTTCAAATAGTTAGATGACTTGCCTGAGATTGTACAACTAGAAGGGGGTAGAACCTGGATTAGAACAAAGGTGGTCTGACCCTAGAATTCATACTCTTAACCATTATGCTATTCATCCTCTCTCTCAGTGCACAGAATCGAGTGGGTAGAAATAGGACCTAAAATTTTGTCTAGGGAGTGATAGAAGGATTTGCAAAGAAAGTGACATTTGAACTGAGTCTTAAAGGGCAAGTAATAATTTATTATTGAGGAAGGGTGGTTTAGGAAAGAGTACACTCAAGAACAAAGGGTAGTCCTGAAGAACCTAGAGACCCTATGGCTTGAGAGGGGTAAGTGGGCAAGCGAAATGCCGGAGTGAGCCACGGTGCTGGGAAGCAAGCAGCCGAGCTGTCTTAACTTAGCGAGAGACCTGGGGTAGGGGGTAGGGAGAAGGGTGTCTGGGTTTCTCTCTAGCGGGGCTGGGAATCTCCGTGTAAGTTCTCAGTCCTATAAAAGGAACAGAGGATATCCTGAGCACCCAGTCTAACGTGTTAATTCCTTGTCAAAGATATCAGAGGAAGAGATTGAAAGGATCATGTCTGGGCAGGAATTTGAGGAAGAAGCCAATCACTGGAGCAACCATGGTGACAGCGACCACAGTTCCCCTGGGAACAGGGCTTCGGAGAGCAACCAGCCCTCGCCGGGCTCCACTCTGTCCTCCAGGTGAGCTTCAAGGCAAACCCAGCATCATCTAGAGATCACTCAGATAGTAGACCCACAAGGAACCCTCTGGGCTGGGTATTCCTGCTAGTCCATCTCAGCAGTTGTGCTCTTGCTCCCTCAGTCTTTTGGGGTAGGGTCCAGGATGATGCAAAGCAGCACTTCACAACCCATTTTTGCTAAAGACCTTGAAAATGTCCGATGTCTTCTGCAGACTGATAAAGTGCTGTAGCTGCTGTCCGTGCTTCACCGAACCGCGCAACATTTCTGTTAGAGCTCTTTCCTCTCATTTACTTTATCACTGAAATGAACAAGCCACACTGACAATGTCAAATTAAGTTATAATTTCTCTGCCTCGGCAGGAGTGAAGATTTTCACTTTATAAATTTTAGGAAACAGGAGAAACTTTTTAACCTAGTCAGAATTGCTGCTATTATCATGGAATACCAGTTTGGAGACCCTGGGCTCAAGAATGGTATCTTAAGTTGGTTGTTAGGTGTGAAATAAAGCCATCGGCTACCAGGGAATGCTTTCTTTCCCCAGAAGTCTTTCTTACAGAAAAGGGATCAACAAACTGTCTGTAAGGGCCAGGTAGCACATACTTGAGGCTTTGTAGGTCTGTGGTCTGGGGCTCAACTACTCAACTGTGCCACCACAGGGCGAAAATAGCCAGAGACAGTGTGTCAGTGACTGAGTGGCTGTGTTCCAGTGAGTCTTAAGTCACCGAAACGGGCCATGGGCCATGGTATGCTGGTTGATCCCCGTTACAGGAGTGCATCTAAGTAAACCTGTAGGATGGTTTTTTTTTTAATTGGTTGAGAGTGGCTAGATTTCTCCAAAAACAGGGAAGGAAGATAAGAATCTGCTTTTTTCTTCATATTTCATTATAACATATCCATTCAGTTCCTTCCTTTGAACGTTTTGGGAGTTGTTGCCACATGCCAGATTTTTTTTTCTAAGTACTAGATTTGTTTTGTAGCCTGGCAAGGCATTTAGCCTGTCCGTGCCTTAGTTTTCTTAGCAGTAAAAAAATAAAACACCTACCTTTGTCATCATAGTCTATGCATATCCATTAAAAGCCCTAAATGCAGCACTCGTCTGAAGAATTCATTTAGCCAGTATTTATTCAGTATCTGCTCTGCCAGGTCTTGGGTGTCCGCTGGTAGACCATATATGTGCACATACCCACAGAGTCCCTGTCTAATAGGGGAGAGGTGCGTGTCACCATTAGTTATGTCCCCGGCTTAATGAAGACAGACTACATGGCCGAAGAACACCTGAGCCACCTTCTGGCCCGTTTCCTCTGAGCAGGCAGCACCCCTGCCAGATCCTGCTTGACGTGAGACTTTTCTCTCCAGTAGGTCCGTGGAACTAAATGGATTCATGGCATTCAGGGAGCAGTACATGGGGATGTCTGTGCCTCCTCATTATCAATACATACCGCACCTTTTCAGCTATTCCACCCACTCGCCACTTCTGCCCCCGCAAGCTCGCAGCCTGGATCCCCAGTCGTACAGCCTGATTCACCAGCTGGTGTCAGCCGAGGACCTGGAGCCCCTGGGCACGCCCATGTTGATCGAGGATGGGTGAGTGAGCCCTGCCCTGTTCGGCCCTTGCAGCTTCAAAACGCTCCCTACCCCACATCCACCTCCCTCCCTGGCTGCTTTATCACAGACTTCAGAATATGTCAGGGATAGTGAGTGATGACTCAGCACTAGAGGGTAAGTCAGTGCTCATCTTTCTTTTGAAGTCAGTGGTCCCTTATTTTTCTCCTGCGCATCTTTTCTCATAGAGTTTGGGCTGTTAATCAGTCCCTATGGAATTAGGAGAAAGGGCTTTTGTTTCTGCTTGGGCCTAGGTAAGCCAAACCCTGGGGTGGACCTGGGCACTTCTGAGCCAGAGATGAGCTGTTATTCTGGGGATAACACACATCAGGTTTAGGCTCCTTAACAAGACGCCGAAGGCACTACCCGGTCGTAGGCTGCCTGCATCCCTAGCCAACATGCCCATGGGGGCCAGGGGCCGTGTGCACTGTGCGCAGGCCCGGTGCATGGAGGGAGTACTCGTTCAGTCCCCGATCGGCTTGACCTGAGGAGATAATGGTCCAGTCTTTAGACCCATCCACTGCTGCATCCAGTACTCCTTTGGCCTGGAGCATGTGCCGCTTGAGTATTTCCGAGCTTAGACCCCCTCCGAAAAGTACCCTCAGATTTCTTAAGCTAGACTCCAATTTCAGAGAGAAAATTCAAATATCTACAAGAAGGCCATACAAAAGCTTTATAAATCTGGACACAGGGGTGAGAGGAAGAGTCATGCCAGGGGGCCTTGAGATCCAGCCCAGAGATGAGGAATGCCCTGCTCTTTGCATCCTGCAGTAGCTTAGAAGGGCTGAGCTACTCTAACTCCAGTTCCCTAGCTGTCACCACCAGGGGGCGCAGTGAGAGCAGGAACAGCTTCCAAATGTGTTCTGTTCTTTTTCAGCCATTTGGCCCCAGGCTCATTTTTCTGCCGGTCCCTGTATTTGGTGGGCACCAGATCCCCCCAATGGAGCCCTTGTTGCCAAAACAACTGCAGGAGTGACTGGGAATTTTCTCTAATGCATAAAACACTAGTGGACACCAAATTTAAAAGCCATACTCCCTGATAACTGCACAAACTTCTAAGCCTCCTTTCTCTTTAGCAGCCCTTTCTCACCACACCCGCCTCTGCAGCCCTGAGTGTGCTGCTAGCTCCAGCCCGGCCCCTTTCTCAGACTGAACTGAAGGGCGCTGGAGCTCACTGCCAGAGCCCCTTGTGCCCCTAGGGTTTTCCTCTCCCTGCGCCCCCACCCTCACCTTCTAGCTGCTGGAAGTGACTGGCCCTGTCTCTGCCCTCTAGGTACTCTGTGACCCAGGCAGAGCTGTTTGCCCTGCTTTGCCGCCTGGCCGACGAGCTGCTCTTTAGGCAGATTGCCTGGATCAAGAAACTGCCTTTCTTCTGCGAGCTCTCAATCAAGGATTACACGTGCCTCCTGAGTTCCACATGGCAGGAACTAATTCTGCTCTCCTCCCTCACCGTTTACAGCAAGCAGATCTTTGGGGAGCTGGCTGACGTCACTGCCAAGTACTCGCCCTCTGATGAAGAACTACACAGGTGAGGACTGCTGGCTAAGGAGGCGTTCCCAAGCAACCAGATCATTGTCATCCCTGCAGGGCAGCAGGGTTGCCTGGCACTCCAGAGGATGGGCATTAAAAGCCCTACTCTGCCACTGACTAGCTTTGTGACCTTGGTCAAGTCTCTGATCCTCGGGTTCTGAATTTATAAAATGGGGTGGTAGCAGTACCATAACAAACGAGATAATAACAGCCTCCCCAACAAGGCAGTTGTGAGAAGTAAATGATGTTGTGCAGTGAAGCTTAGCAGAGTGCTGAGCTGTTGTTTTTATCACTCCTGGATTTCTGAGGTAAGATGATGAATCTGGGAGAAACAGAAATCTAAACTTAGTGTACAAAGTGAGGGGCTCCAGGATACAGTTTTACAATCTGAGAACAAGACCCGGGCTCACTGTGGTGCACCTGCTGTGTTCCGGGCACTGGACTTAGTACTTTATGATTGTCTTACTGGTTTATCATAGCCCCCAGCACCATAGGTATGGTTATGCCTGTATTACAGATGAGAAAACTAAAGTTCAGAGAGAGATCTGCCCTTGAGGGTTTTCGCGTTTGAATCCAGAGCCTGGATTTGAACCTGTGCCTGCCCCACTGCACAGCCTTAGGCTCTCTTGCCACGTCTGAGATGCAGCGAGATGGTAGGAGCAGGGGTCTAGGAGACTGATGTTCTCTTCACGGTTTCCTAGCAGACGGTCTTGTCCGAGCCGGCCAGCACCCTCTGACCTCCCTGTGTAGGGCAGGTCTTCACTCACTCACTCACTCACTCACTCCGGAGACCTGGAGCACGTGGTGCCACCGGAGTCAGGACGAGTGACCTGCTGACAGGACTTTTCTGGCTTACTGACTTAACCATATGAAGAGTAAAGCTTAAAGCAACGTTTAAGTAGATATTTAAATAATTCGCCTCTATTGGACAATATAAAATGGTGGGAAAATTGGGATTCCAGAGCACCAAGGAAGAGAGAAGAAGACACACACCCAGCAGTGAAAGCTAGAGAGGGCAGAATGCCCACGCTTTCCACACAGGGCTGGGGTGTGCCCCCCTCTGGCACCCAGTCCCATGGCATAAAGACGAGCTGAGACTTCGGCTGAAAGCCAAGCTCCGAGACCCTCAAGGGCCCTGTGCCTCACTGAAGGGAGGAGGAGTCTGGGTGTTGACTGTCTCCCGTGGTTTTCCAATGTTTCCTTGTGAGTGATGCCTACTGGCTTCGGGGTGACCTATACATGACAGAGTCTGAACCCAGCTGACACTTTGTCCTGTAAACAGAGCTATCTGATTTTGCGAATGACCTAACCCCTTGTCTTGGGCCTCTAATTCATTGTTTCCATCAAATCCCTATCTCCTGCTCTGTAACTCGGGGCCGACGGCGTGTTTGGATAGCAGTTAGCTGGCTCTAATATTGTCAGGGTTCGCAGAGCTGGCCCCGTGAGCCCGGCTCCCTGTTTGTCTGGACTCCACCAGTGCACCCCGGGCTGCCTACAAAGTCAGCCTGTGGGTTTCACTCCCTCTGGAGTGATGGGTTGTCTGGGGCCTTCTACAGGCAGGTAGGGATCGCTGGTCATGCAGGGCTCTCCGTGGCTTTGAGCTTCATAAGGCACCCCATCCGCTGATCCAATTCCTTGTACCCCAAGAGCAAGGCAGAGCCCAGCAACAGCTGAGTAAGTGAGGAAAGTTACATTTCCTAGGGAGTTTCTTTACCAAGGAGAATCTGGAGCTGCATTGTCCAGTAGAGTTGCCTTTAGTCTCAGGTGGCTTTTTAAATTTAATTAAAGTTAATTAAGACTAAAATTTCAATTCTTCATTTGCACTAGCCACATTTCACATGCTCAGTAGCCACACGCACTTAGTGGTTACACGTTGGACAATGCAGATATAGACTGTTTCCATCATCACAAAGTTCTTCTGAACAAGTAGGACCCAAACACATGTTGCTGCTGAGCTCTCAGGTGAGTTCAGGGATAATAAATAGATTTGGCCCTGGCTGGTGTGGCTCAGTGGATTGAGCGCAGGCTGCGAACCAAAGGGTCGCAGGTTCGATTCCCAGTCAGGGTACATGTCTGGGTTGCGGGCCAGGTCCCCAGTGGGGGCCACAAGAGAGGCAACCACACATTGATGTTTCTCTCTCTTTCCTTCTCTAAAAATAAATACATAAAATCTTAATGAAAGAAAGGAAGAAAGAAAGAGATTTATTGTTAGGACCCTTACTCAATTATGGAAGCCTTCAATGGAAAAATGCGAAGTAGACTTACCACGTTAGTGCTGATTCCATGCCCGTCTCCTGGGCACTCACTGTGTTGGCGGGAGGGGTGTTGGGATGACAGGCGATGCAGACATGGTTTCCGACTCCAAAATGAGAGTCCCTGTTCTTGGTTTAGGGCGTTGGGACATGCATAGGAGCAGATACAGCCTACAGTCTGGGATGGTGTTGGCGGCAGTGGAGGGGCATGTGGGGGACTTCAGGCATAGGCTGGGGAGTGAGTGCCTCTGCTCGCTTTATCAGGGAATGCTCGCCAGAGAGAAGAGATTTGAGCTGCATCTCGAAGGAGGATTTTTCTTGGTAGATTATAGAGAACAGGAGGAAGGCATGAGGGTAACACAAAGTCCTAGAAGCTAGAGATCTTGGATGGTTGCTTCGTGCAGGGAACTGAAAGCAGTCTGTGGAGTAGGGTACAGAGAGAATGTATCTGAGACAGAGAAATGAGCGGGGGGCGGGGTGACTGGAGAGAAAGGGACAGAAAAGACAAGTTGTGAAGGTGCTCAAATGCCTAGCCAAAGAATTTGGATTTTATTGTGTAAGTAGTGTTACGCCCCAGGACACTTTTAAATGGAGTGGTTGCGTGGTCAGGTTGTGCTTCAGGAAGATCCCTGTAGCTGTAAAGCTCAGGGTGGATTGGCATGGACACCACCAGAGAGCAGAGGCTGGGGCGGAGGCTGTTCCACGAGGCCGGGGCCAGGCAGCACGGAGTTAGGAAAGGGCAAGGAGGTGAAGTCAGGGGGGCTTCAGTAGGCAGATGAGTCCGAGGTGCTGCCAGGCAGGTGGGCACCAATCTCTTAGCCAAGGTAATGGAGCCGGGGAAGAACAGGCTGAGAGGTGAGCCACTCTGAATTTGATTTGGAGTCTGCTGAGTCTGAGATGCGTGTGTAAGTGCCCAAGAGGTCAGAGGAAATGGACCCCTGAGAACCTCCGGAGTCAAGTTCGTCACTGTGAAGCAGTCCCCTCTCTATTAGAGACCCAGGGTGTGGTGGAGTCTGTAACCGGCCATAGCTCTTTCCTGCCTTTCCCGCTCCTGCACGATCCCACTCCCCCAAACGCCTTTACTTTTTCACAACTCCTGAGTGCAAGTGAGTTCCTGCTGTCATGAAAGGGCTTTTCCCAGATGATGCATGACCACCTCCTTTTCTCTTCTCCAATATTGAATCAAATTTATGGGGCCCATTTTCCTTAATCAGGCTGTTATCAGACAGTGAGCCGGGTGCATTTGATTTAAAGCAGATTGTAGCACCAGCCAGTGACTGCTCCTGGCCCTAATCAGGACTTCTTTACTCTCGGGAGGAGATGCCTTGCGCTGGATGGGCTTTAATGGGCCCTTGCTCCTCATGAGCACGGGCTGCCTTCCTGCCAGATCTCTGGAAGTTTCCCTCCCAGCGCTCCTGCTCGTACCCTAGCTTTAATGTTTAGGAAACACAATTTTTGCTGTGGTAGTGGGAACGATGGTGCTGATGCTATTAATAATGATAGTTGGTAAGAATTATAGATTGCTTATTGTGCCAGATTTCATCTTAAGTGCTTTACAAACGTTATTTTAGTCCTCGCCACTGCCCTGAGAGGCTGCACCACTGTTATCCCCATTCCTCGGGGGAGGAGCACAAGGCTCAGAGAGGGGGAAACTCCAGGTTACAAAGCTGGAAAGAGATGGAGTTGAGGTTATTGCCTAGATCTCTTGTGCTCCAGACCCCGTTCCCGCCGCCATCACTCTGCACTGGACTCTTTGGCCCCCTCAGAAGTGGGGCTTCCTGGAGAGGGGCCTGGAGCCACAGCCTCACCTCTCATCCTAGAGTCTCTGTGCGATGCTGAGGTGGCGGTGCCCCTGAGGTTGGGGCTGGTGACTCCCCCCAAGCGTAAGCGCCTGTAGATGAATGAAGAGGAGACAACTGGGCCTCTCGGCCCCCTTCGCGGGACATAACTTACACAGTGTCAGCTTCAGTTGCTGCCTGAATGGTCCAGTGGTTTGGGGGATCCTGGCAAGAATGTTTTCCTTGTCCTGGCGTGCTTGTGTAACGGGAACCCAGAAGAAGAATGGGTGTGTTTGTCCAACTTTCTGGCTCTGAATGCTGATAATTTGTAGACGGGGAATACAGGGGCGTTAGAACTGTGGAGTGGGCAGATGTGGAGGAGGCACGGCTGCAGGAGAAAGCCGGCCCATGAAACAGAGAACAGTTTGTTTATCAAGGGGTGGGATGCGGGGTGTGGAGGAAAGCTTTGCAGTCAGGCTGTGGATACTGAGTGGGGGCTGCTGGGCTGGCTGCCATCCCCCCGCCATCGCCTCGGGTCCGTGATGGTAGCCTGTCCTAAGAAATTTGGAAAAGAGACACGTGCTTTCCCCGAGAGAAAAGGCAGAGCTGGGGCCACGCGCTCAGGCCAGGCACTTGGGAGCTCATTTGTGTCTCTCGGGTCAAGACTCAGCCAGGAATAAGGCCGGGCGTCCTGGCTGGGGGGTCTGGCTGACAGCCACACACCTGCAGGTTCTGCAGTGCCAGAGCGAGCTCTTGGGCGAGAGGCTGCTGATTAAGGGAGACGGCGTTATCTCCTCTTGCTACACTGCTTGCTCAGCCACCAGACGACAGGCACTGACACTGTTGCTCTGCTTACCCCACCCCTCCAAGCAGATACTGGAGGGAGTTTGCACTAAAGACCCTTTCCTCTCAAGAACAGAAGTAGCCAGCTGAGTCCTGTGATGAGGCGGGATCATCCCTCCCGGGGACACTGCCTGCTGCAAGTCTTGAGACCACGGGAGCCTGCAGGGCAGCCCTGGGTCGGGCCCGGCCTGAGTCCCTGTGGGAATGCAGGGCCCCCGAGGTGCCCAGCGGTAGCATGTGGGAGCCTCCCGCGCTTGCCGGTTAAGAGCAAGGCAGTCAGGGAGCGAGCAGTGTGGCACTGAGAAGGCAACAGGCTTGGAATTAGAAAACATGGCTTAAACCTTGGCGCAGCATCACGCCTTGACCGAGTATTCTTGGGGAAGGCACCTCTTCTCCCTCCTCACCCTTAACCTGAGGCAACGTGACTGACCTCACAAGCTTCCAGGAGCATCAAGTGGAAGAACGCAGCAGGGGCCCAAGAAATAACCTGTCAGCCTTTGTTTCCACGTGTGATCAAAGGAGATTACATCACGTCCATTTGGGGGGTTAATCAGGAGTATCCAGTGGAATAATGTATGTAGACTATTTAACAAAGTGCCTGGCAAGCAGCAAACACTCAACCAATGGTGCGGTGGCTGATACATTTCTTTATAGTAGTTTTTCAATATAAATGTCTTATCAGCCAGTCTGCGAAAATATCATAAAGTTGTAAAAAGCCATTGGGCCAGGAGCGGAGAGAAACAGTCAGCCATCAGACTTACAACCAGCTGACCAAAGAAGCCCCAGCTCACACTGACTGGGAGCCAGACCTTGAGGCCGAGGGCGGGAGCTCCAGCAGAAGGAGCTGTCGCTGTGGCTCCCTCTGGTGCTCGAGAAGTCCAGGTGCCTCTGGCCCCAGCCAGAGCCAGGCTCTCCCCGGGACCTTGCAAAGCCTACAAGGTCAATGCAGAAAGCAGTAGTACATGGCCAGGGGTTCTGGACCCCACCTAGTGAGAGCCTTCTTGCTTGGCATAGGGCTGTACAATTATGTTCAGTACCCAGATCTGAACGCAGTCACCAGGAAGCAGTCCTGGGTTGAACACCTTCTCTGTGACTGAGCTGCAACTAAGACCTGTCTGGAACTCTCCCTGGTCCACTCCTAGAAGTGGGAAGACTGGGCCTGGCCTCAGCTTTTATAAACTCCTACTTCCCCATTAAGCTTTTGCCTCGTTGGTTTCGTGATATTTCCATCTCTGTTATGAGACATTCCCCGCTATTACCTGGAATATCAGTCCCCTGGCCTGGTGCTCCTCTGCCTAAAACCTTGATCTTTCCTCAAGGAGCTTACTTCTAATCCAAAGAAAGGAGCATTGACCCTTCTCTGTTGGGAGATGCCACCTTGGATACTGGGAAAACCAAGGCCTTGGGGAATTAGCCCCAGATCCCAGTTCTAGCTCTGCCACCACCTAGCTGCATGCTAATGGGCCAGTCCCCTCTATTCTTTGGACGTCGGGTTTCTTATCTGTACAGTGGTAATGATAGTCACCTACCCATAGGACTGAGAAGGTTCAATGAGATAATACATATAAAGTGCCCAGCACAGAGACTTTCATGTTTCCCTCCTTCCCTAGCTGAAGTCAAGGATACCAATAAAAAGTTCACCGCATAACCTCAGCCCTGCTGGAAACAGTGAACCTCAAAAATACAATCAGCAGCTTTTTCTGCATTGTGGCAGAGGCTTACATGAAGTCACCATGGCAGCTGCCACTGATACTGAAGCCGTACCTCTACAACAGCAGTATATTAGTGATGTCATATTTTCCACATTCACATCCCAAACCTCTTCAGGAGCCCTGTTACCCCCAGCAGTCCAGCACTGTTATTGTACAGAGGAGGACCTCAAAGCTTAGAGGGGTCATATGACTTCCCCAAGGTCTCCATAGCTTTTATGTGATGGAACTGGCTTTCTGGTCGACCCTACCTGGCCTTGGGCACAGCAGCTTGTGTGAGTTACCTGCCGGGCCCCTTGACAAGCTGTGGATCCCCCTGTCGCTCACAGCCTGGGTTCCATCTCCCCCAGCCTCAGTCCGTCTCCTGTGTTAGATGCTGTAGGGAGCTGTCAGAGGTCTCTGTCTTCCTGTCCCTGGCCTCTGCGGCTCTCAGAGCCCACGGTTAACAGCGCTGTCCATCCGTTCCCCAGATTCAGTGACGAAGGGATGGAGGTGATCGAGCGGCTCATCTACTTGTATCATAAGTTCCACCAGCTAAAGGTCAGCAACGAGGAGTATGCGTGCATGAAAGCAATTAACTTCTTAAATCAAGGTGAGTGGCCTGTTCTGCTGTGAACACTTCCCCTCATGTTTCACGCCCCCCACCCCACCCCCCGGGACTGTCACGCAGAATGTGGCATGCCGCGTGGGTGCCAGGCTTGGAAGGCCTGTGCTTCCCTCATCGTCATTGGTGCAGGGCACGCTTTGGGTTTCTTCTTCAAACGCAAATGCCACAGTCTCTATAACTCATAGCGGAAGGAAGAGGATTCGCTTTGTTTAGTCAGTTTCAATGCATTTAAACGCAGACATCAAGGACAGTACATGCGTCATTTAAAATGTGTACCGAGTTTACCAGTGACTGAAGAAGAGCAGAGTGATGAAACTGTTGGAGATAAGCCTCTGTGACAGGCTGGCAGTGGTTCTGGCGGCCCCTGCAGGGCAGAGCGGGGGTGCACAGAAGCTCACACGTGCACATCAAGCATGGCTTTTAATCAGAAGTGTGCCGAACGGGACCCATGTGGAGTATTGCCTGCAACGTGGTGCTTGGTAGCTGCTGATGACCAGAGTGAGAAGGAGAATTTGTATTTTTTTTTTCCAAAGTAGCATACGAGTGCTCTGCTCTTGGAGAACTGTTTTGCTGCCTGTGACATGAAGAGTGATCTGTCCTGTGTTCAGTTGCCTCATCCAGAGGCTGTCAGTCCCCTCCTCTTTGCTTCTCCTCCCCCACACTGGCCGGACCTCCTCCTCCTGCTCCTGCACCATTCGTGCACTTATCTGGTATTTTGTGTGCCTCCCCTAGGCCTGGGCCTGTGGTGAGCATTAAAGACGCTGAGAAACAGATTCCAGGTCCCTGGCGTCAAGAAATATACTCTGGTGGCACGTTAACACATTACTTGAGCCTCAGATGGGGGATATCAGTAGCAACCACGTAGAAGAGGAGAAATCTAAGTTGGGTCTCAAAGGCTGGGTGATATTTGTATATAGAACACCCAGACTCTGTGTATACAAAAGGGGTAGGAGTGTGTGTGTTTGTGTGTAAGGAGATGAGAGAGAGAGAGAGGGGCGGGGGGGGGGGGCTCTGTATATTAATAGGAAAAAGTGGAGTGATGTCAGAGTAGTATGAGCAGAAACACAGGGGATCATGGGAGTATATGAACAAGTATGAACATGTAGGTGCCCCCAAAGGGCACATTTAAAGATACTGTGAAGGACAGAGTAGGAAAGGTAGGTTATTCACGCGGTTAATTGTTCAGCATCTACTGGTGCTTGTTTCGTATCGGAGCTGGGGGCTCCGTCTAGTGATTGTCTTGTATCATTTTTTCCTTCTTTATCCGATTTTTCTTCCCTGATCTAGAACTTTGTTCCTCCGTGTCAGAGAGAGAAAAGATCCCTTATTGTAATAATGTTTAAGAACTCCCTATTGAAATAGGCACCTATTCGAGGAGCTGGTGTTTCTTCCACAATAGAAAGCCCCTCCCACTTCCTGTGTGGTTGTCTCCACAGATATCAGGGGTCTGACCAGCGCCTCGCAGCTGGAACAGCTGAACAAGCGATATTGGTACATCTGCCAGGACTTCACTGAATATAAGTACACGCACCAGCCCAACCGCTTTCCTGACCTCATGATGTGCTTACCTGAGATTCGGTATATTGCAGGTAACGTTCTGGGTGCTAGGTTTCCAACTGTCTTGCTTTTCGTCACTAGTGAAGAAAACGAGTCAAGCGGTGTTTCCAGGATGCTCGTTCCAAGCCCATGACCGAGCTCATAAAAGCAGTACGACCCTTGCCCTCAGAAAAGTTAGGCTGCGACGAGAAGCTTGACTTTTCCTTGTAGAGAAGAGAATCTAGCGTTTCCTCGGCACCCGTGGTGTGTGGGGCACTCTGTGGCTTTCGGCCATTTACCCTCAGGCCGAATCCCCACGGGCCTGGCGTCGGTGATGCCGCGGCCACTCTGTACCAGGGAAGCGGGCTCAGAGCTTCTCGGCTTGGCCCCGGGTCCTGAACTGGGTGCTGTCAAAGGGTGGGTCTTATGTTACGTGACTCAGTTTCACCTCGGTTTTAAAAATGAACCTCATTTCATAGAATTGCCCATAAGTTTTGGGGGGCTCATTCATTTAAAGCAGTATCTTTAATTCCCTAGTCCTATGCTAGCAAAAGAATTTTTGTTGACATTTTAATAGGTCCATTTAAATATAGAATTCTAGTTTTAGTTATTGTTGCTCCCCTTCGTTTGGTGAAGATTGTTGTTCGTAGTTACCCAGCACTTACTGAGGGGCAGCTCAGGCACGGAACCTCGACAGAGATTGTTCTCGTCAAATTCGGTGACATGATTTTGAAGGCAAAACATTTTCAGTTTGACAAAGGAATTTTTATTCTACTTTTTGGGCCCAGAGTAATCTAGCAGATGTGAACTGGACCTCAGCTATTGGAATTTTGGGGGCATTCTGATATTTATGTCTCAGCATTTTCAAAGTGACACCCTGCCAGATGAGATACTCATCACGTGGTCTCTGAAGTAAGGGGAGGCCAGTAATTGCACCCCCTGGCCAGAGCCGTGGCAGCTGGCAGCACCTGGAAACACCTGGGGAGCTTTTTAAAAGTGTCCATGCTTGGGTTGCACCCCCTGAGATGGATCAGGATTTTGCTTGAACTCCCGGGTGACTCGAAGGCACTGTCGGGGAGAAGCAGCGCCCCCACATTCACAGCAGCTCTTGGTGCTCTGGGAAGTCCTCCCGTTCAGACACTGTGCGCCCTTCAGCCCTGAACTTCTCAGCTGGATTGCCCTTGTGACACCCCCACCTCCTTTTTTCCTCAATACTTTTATGTAACCCATTATACTACCATGAAGAGCAATTTTTATAGAACGCCGGTTAGAGAATCCATCGGGAAAAGAAGAAAACAGACATAAGTTTCTTGTGGTATTTGAGCTCTCAGAGGGCATCTAGGAACACTTCTCAGTTTCAGATTCCTCGTCTGTAAAATGGGGATAGAAAGTAATATCTGTCCCACAGAAGTATCGTGAGAATTAAATGAGATAATGCATTTAAACACCCAGCACAGAGCACATGTTCCCTGGATAATAGCAATGAGTATAACCTGCGCCATCGCTGGGCTCCCTCGGGCAGCAGAGCGGGCCTGGGCGTCACGACGCCAGCCCAGTCTGCCTGTCTCTGTGGTGCTCCTGGCGCTTCCCTTGCCCGAGCCGCCCAGAGAGGCCGCATCCTCCTTCCTCCTGCCCAGAAAGAGAGGGATGCTGTTTGCTCTCCCACCAGCAGCCACTGCTAACCTTTTTCCCCACCTGTTCCCAGGAAAAATGGTGAACGTACCCTTGGAGCAGCTGCCCCTCCTCTTTAAGGTGGTGCTGCATTCCTGCAAGACCAGCGTGGGCAAGGAGTGACCTGTCCCGGCGCCCTCCTCGGGCCAGCCACGGAGCCGCGGGCGGGCAGGACGGGCTCCCGAAGCCAGAGCCAGAGACCAAGATGGAGGCCGCGGAGCAGCACTGCCGGCCGCCTCCATAGCAGGAAGAGTTTTTGTTTGTTTGTCTGTTTTTTTAAGCTCATTTTTCTATATATTTATTTCACGACAGAGTTGAATGTATGGCCTTCAACACGATGCACATGCTTTTGTGTGAATGCAGCCGATGCATTTCCTTGCAGTTTACAGAATGTGAAGATGTTTAATGTTACAGTGTTGTCATTGTTTAAAGATAGTTCTTTTTTGTATTTTGAGGGAGGGTGGGTTGGGACTGAGATGACTGTTTTCATAAATGTTGACAAAGACGACTACCTCAGTGGAAAGGAGGGGTGCGACCGTCCCCGCTTTTCCCACCTGTTCTCTGCAGACTCGGACATTTGTCTGTCAGAGAGCAACTGCCTTTTCTAGCCACAAAACTGCCAGGGAAAAAGCACACACCGCAAAAGGGCCAAGAGGCGTGGGGAGGTTTGCTGAGCCGAGCGCAGCGGGCGAGGCGGTGGGAGCGAGGCAGGAGTTGAGGATGTGGGCCCCCTCTTCCCCTTGGGGAGCGTGGACGTGGAGGGAGCGGGACACAGCGGCCAAGTCTGAGTTAGGCGTCCTCCCTCCGAACAAGCCCTCGGGGAGACGGGTTTCTGTTCCCACACCGCGCTGTGGGATATCCCCCCCGTCGGAACCACCATTGTCAGTTTCTGCCACTGTCAGCTTCACAGCCAAAGTCCTGGCGGTAAGGTCCTCAGTCCTTGGGACTCGTCCGGCTCCCTCGGGCTCGCAGCTACCTCGTTTCCTGACCCGGGTCTGCCGGGGCCTGCCTGCCTTATTAGATGTCTGCCCCTCGTCAGTTCGCCTCTCCCTTGTCAATGTGACTTCCCATTGGCCCTCTGAAAAAACAGCTGGACACAATGTCGTGCTCCGAGTCCTGGTGCCCACTACTGATTTATTTTCCTGTCGCCTTGCTTTCTTCAAGGGGCACTGGGACAAAGTCCAGACTGAGAGAACAAATACTCCTTCGGAGTTCCCTGTTCCTCCCGCCGTCCCGCCCCGCCCTGCCCCAGGACGGACTCCAGAGCCTGCAGTCTCTGTGTCATGCAGTGGGAAGGACCGTTCCAGCCTGCTGACCAGAATTTTTGCCCTTACATTCTACTCTGAGTTCTTCCAGTCTCTCCAAAACGAGACCAGGATTTCTCAGGACACAGTCCAAGGTCCAGAGTGGCCCACCTGCCCCTTAGCGCATCAGTAGCCTGGCTGACCGTGGCCTGGAAGGCTGGGGCCCCCGAGCACCTGGAGAGGGAAGGGGGGCTTTAAACTACCTCATGTTCCTAAGGGCCTGGCTGCCCCCGCTCACTACCTGCCCCACCTGGGCCTGGGAAGTGTTCCTCGCCTTCTCGGCTCTGGCCAGCAACCGCCCCGAGTCTGTCTTGGAACTCTGCTGGGTGCTTTTCCCTTCTCTGCCTTACTGCAGCCATGGTTCCTGCCCACACCCAGGCGCCCCACGTAGCCGCTGCGGCAGACAGACCACTGAGAGGGGTGCGTCCCGGGTGGGCCTGCGGGGCCTGCAGCACCTCCTTTTGCCTGTGTAGTCAAAGGCCGTTTGCTCTCTTCCTGGCTCGGCCTGGCGGACGGACCCGGGGGGCTGCCGCATCGTGTGCAGACCGGGTCGTCCGTGTCAGATTGTAATTTTTTCTTTCCGCTGAAATGTTACGGGTACCAGCACAGTGATGGCTTTGTCCCCGGTGGACCTGACACAGCACTGTCCCTCCATGCCGCTTCCCTAACTGCTCTGAGAAAGAGAGGAGGAAGAGACATGTTTCTCAGGAAGAGCTCTAATCAGAGTTTGTTTCACATATCAATGGGAAGATTTGTGTGTGTATCTGTTTACTTCTCAGTTCACAATAGTTTTGTTTCCCTGGATGTTTTGTTTAACCATCTAGATCCCATTCTTTGGCTACAGGTCAGACTCCGACTGCTCTCCTCGCTGTAGGGAAGAGACCATATCAGAGACCCCTTCTCCAAGACGGCTCCCGTGTGCACCATCTTTCTCTGCTTAGACCTCCATCTGTCAAATTACTGTTTTTTGAAATGGCTTTTCTCTTACACATTTTGTCAGTGGGTTGGGTATCAAAGGAAATTGCTCTCTGATGAGGCAGGAAGATGTCTCTCCAATAATGCAGCATTAAACAGAGCAAGTTGTTAATTTGTGGAGTGGGGGAAAGGTTCTGCAAGTTGCCATTGTACAAATCCATCTTTACAAATGTTTGCAGCAGATTCCACGGAACAAAGAGCCCATTCATTGCCGAGTGCCCTGCAGAATCTCCGAGCCAAGTGGCCGTGTGTTCTGAGCCGGAGCCTGACCTGTGGACCGCCTTTAATGTGTTCTGCACCCAGTCCTTTTATGACGTGGGCTTTTTTTAAACAGGGTAGAATGAATGTGTTGCATTGCAAACTCAGGTATTAGGAGGAGGTGGTAGGAGCGTAGCTAGCAGCGTGGAGACATTAGGTCAGCCACTAGATGTGTTTGCGAATTTGGTTTGAAGGACACAGAAAGGTTGGAGGGGGAGGTTTGGTGTGTTTGTTTTTTGCCTTTCTTCCCGTAATGATTGGTTAACAGGTAGCCTTTTTGCTAGTGGAAGAAGGGAAAAAGTTGTGCGTGTGGTTTCTTCATTCCCCTGTGTTCTGTCCTCTCTCTGGCCTCCTGCCACTAACGGCACTCATTCTGAGTGAGAATTTTTCCACCATGAAAATACGACCCTGCAAGCTGAGTGGTCAAGGAGAATCCCACCTCCTTGCACTCCACTGAAACATACAGGCTTTTCCCTTCCTTTCCCTCGGAATGTTCTCTTGACCCAAGACGAAAATTTGCAGTCTTGGAACTTCACCTACAACTTGGGCTCTCTGGCTCCTTTGTAGATTTTTGGAGTCTTTCACATGGTTTGGTGGTCTTGACCTTGGTCTGGAGAAACTCCCCAGAACTTGCCTGAAAGCATCTGACCTGTCTCAAAGGACAGACACCCAGTCTCCGTGCCCAACCCACGAGTCAGGTGGCCGAACCACTGGGGATAGGAGTCAGCAGGCAGGAGCCTCCCTGCCCTGGTCTCCAGAGCCAGAGAAGGAATAGTGGGAACTCAGGGCCTCCGTGGCATTCTGACAGCCACCCACCCCACGCCAGCCCGCCTCTTCCTGCCCCCTCCTTTCTCAGGGGGATGAGTACGTGCCACGGCCAGTGTGTCCCCGGGGCCTTAAAGCCCTTGGGCTCTCTGAGCTTGCAGCCTTGCTCTGCGACCCATTTCTTCCCGTAGTTTGTTCATTCTTGATTTTCTGGGGAGCGGGACAGACGGAGACAGGGGAGCCCGGCGTGGGTGTCCCTGTAGGGCAGCGGGTTGAGCAGTGGTTCTCAGTCTCTCTCTGAGCCCCTGGCCTGTGTCTTTTTTCCTTGTCGTTTTAATTTTTTTGCAATTGTTTTAAGAAATCCAGTCTTTTTCAGACCAGCCCTTTTATTTTCTTTATTGATTTTTTAAAGTGAAAAACAAAAAAAAATCTCAAAAACAAAAAACTAAACAAAAAAACCATGATTACTTTCCCCAAATGACCTACAAGCCTCCCCCTGCACCCCCCTCTGCCTTTGCAGCTGATCATTCTCCCGTTTTCCTCGACTTGAAGCTAGATCCGCGTCCAGTGTCTGCGGAGGGGGTTTGTCTGCGTCTCAGCATGAGAACCGGCAGTCCTTGTGCCAGGTGCTGGGAACTGGTCGGCCTTGAGGCGAGGGTTTCTAGGGCCACAGCTCAGGGATGTGTATTTAATTACAGGGTCCCCAGAAACCCCTCTCTCGGCCGCCACGCACAGTGGCTGCTTTTCTGGGCTTGGGAGCCGGACCTGGACTGTTTCCTCAGAGGCAGGAGCCCCTCGGAGCGTACCGAGTCTGGGGCCGGTCCTGGGCTACCGGGGGGCTCGACAGCCCAGGAACGTGAGCCCCAGCGGCCCTGCCTCTGCCTGCTCATAAGATCCCGGTCCCTCCGCCCAGTCCGGTCCTTGTCGGGCCTCAGGGGGCTGCAGCCTGCTCAGGAGTCGATCGCAGGCTCAAAGGGAAGCTGGGGGTCGGGCCAGCCCGAGAGAAAAGTCGTGCTACTGGTAGAGAAGCTAGTCTTCCAAGTCCTGGAGCCAGCCCTGCCCGCCAAAGTACCACTTTTGCCCTTTGGTGATCATTATTCCTTCCTCTGAAATGTGTTATAATAGGTGATAATGTTGTTGACTCAGATTTCCATGAAAAACAAAAAAAATACTACCTCTTGAGTGACATCCTGGTCGATTCCTCTCTGAGAAATCCTGTGGGGGAAAAACGCTGTAGCTCCTGCTCTGTTTACATGTTTCTGTCGGGAGGGAAGCCCTGCCTGCCCGGGGCGTTGCTGTTTGTGTCTGGGTGGCCGTCCCGGGCCTGCGATAGGGGCCTGCGGGTGCGTTGTGGTGTCTGGGCCGCGCCTCGGCAGGCCTTCGCACCTGCCCGGCCCGCGCCAGGCCGCCCCCTCGGAGGGGCCTCCGGGTCCTTTCTACCATCCAAGGCGCAGGAGGCACCGCCCTGCCGTCGGGGACTCTGGTGGCACGCGTGTCCCCAAGCTGACCCGTGGGCCACGTATCTGAGATCCACCTCTACCCACAGTCCCGTGCAGGAATCAAGTAAATGGGATGTCTCTGAGCCCTTGTCCCCAAAGGGCCGGCCAAGGGCTTCCTGCCGGCCTGGCTCCGTCAGCCCTGCGTGACCAGGTGCTGGTTGGCGAGCTCTGCAGGCTGCCCGGGCCCTCTGCTACCTCCCACCCTGCCAGCCGGCGAGGGATGGGCCCTTTTCTGTGAATTGACTACCTGTGGAAATGTGACCAATTAGTGTGAAATGCATGTTTAGAAAATGTTAGGTACTGTATTTGAACCAATAAATGTGAATCCTGCACATGGCATCTGTGTGTGGCGCTTGTCTGGCGTTCTCTGGGGCGGGGCGGCGGGGACCCTAGGGAGCCGGCTCGTGCCTTCACCCCACCCCAGTCCCCTTTGCAGAGGGTCTGGCGGAGGGACGTCGCTTCGAGCTGCTCGGATTCATGAGCCAGCAGTGACTGAGGTGCCTCTCCTGTACCTGGCTCTGTGTTGGGAGCTTTCACAGACCTGCCCCTCCTCGACCTTGAAGGATTTTCAT